TCCAGGGACGATTTGGCTGTGGCGGACGACAGAGATCTCGAATTGTTGGTGTTGGTGTCGAGATCATAGTGGCACTGGGCCTGTTTATATTCATACCCTCCTTATGTATTCCAAGCGGCGCACCGACCTCGCAAAACACTGATATCTAGCTTCTCCCTCTGCTGACACCCGGTCAGGGCCAGGTGCAGCAACATGAAGCATGGGACTTCACTAGTCGTCGCGGTTTGGGCAAGAGCAGCGAAGGGCCGGGGTAAGGTACAAGGATGTGACAGCAATTGAGTGGCGTTCTTATTCTCCATAGCGATGTCCACGAAGGAGCTCGCATCGCTCTGTTTTGCACTTCTTCGACATGGCGTCGGCATGCTGTGAAGAAAAGTCTCAAGCCTCTACACTTGTAATGAAGATCACTGCGCATCTTGCTGCCTGTACGAAGATGTCAGTGTAAAGCTCAAATCCAACCTCTCTCATACCGATCGATAATACAGAAGTCTCCGACTTACCCGAGAATCTCTGGTTTCATGATGCGCAGATCCAGTGAAAGAGGAATACAGGGACAGGGACAAGGGTTGTAGGGCTAGCATACACACTGAGGACAAGCATCGGCTGACGCAGGTACTATACGTACGAAAGCGGGCACGCGCATCGCGTATCTTGCCAACGTCAAGCTGCGAGGCCCTGGTCGCCTTCATGATGCTGGTATGCTAGGATGGGGCGTGCCAAAACACAGCCATCCCGTCACTATGACCTGAGAGCGTGGGGAACATAAAAGGGTAGTGGATGCAGCCTGCATGCGCTTAGCACGCATGTAAGACATGCAAAAGAGTACAATGATCTGCGACACCAGACCACGCCTGCACGCTCAGCAATATGCCCAGAGCTGCGTCGAGACAGCATCCGGTTTCTTTGGCAACATCTCGGCATGGCTCGGCCTCAGACTTGCGTTTGCGTTGAACAAAGCTGCCGTCAATCTTAGCGATACCCCTGGGAGGCTGACTGTAGGCCGGACCATAGACCCGATGGCGGAATCGTAAAACGCATGGTGATCTGGTTTAGTGGCCTGAGACCATACGAGTGTTCGCGCGTTATTACCCCGGGTAGCGGTCAAGTGAGAGGCGCAAGAAAGGCTAATGCAGGTACCAATCTTCCACACATCCTTGTACCTGGAGCAGACAGAGCGAACTCGAGGGTCAGTCTGGGTGTGGGCCGGGTGGAGCAAGCTCGCCTGGATACCTGGTTTACGATGGCTCCTCTAGTTTCGTATTGAAAATACGCGATTACAGTTGGTTTCTCGACAAAGAATGTACAATCATACACATGTTAAGCTCATTCGAGGCCGGTGTTACTCAATGGAGAATGTTCTCAAAGCTTCAGCGTAGGTGGCCATGGCAATCCTCAAGGTTCCAAGATTCTCAGATGGACCAAGCAGGCTGGAGGAGCGAAACGGACAGGATCGTCCACAAAGTTCCACGTGCAGGTGTGGTGGAATTCAACGCTAGGAAAGCAGGCAGACATCGGCGCCACCGCGTGAAATTTCTGAGTGAGCATCTGATCCTGACGCCCATTCGCGACAGGAGTGAAATCGTTCCTGCACCCAAATCTTACCATGAGGGTTGTAATCGACGCCCCAATTTGCCCGAGCGCTAGTGGTGTATACCAAGTACACTTGCAATCTCCTGAGACGAACTATCGAAGAACAAACGTAGAAGGCCAGACGATAGAGTGGCAGGTGCTCGATACTGAGGAGTGTGCAAGGACCAGGCGCTACCCCCATCAGGGATAGGCGAGGCATGCGCTGGCCATTCTCTACACACCATTATCTTAGATGCGAACGACCCTGGCAGACCGGTGAATTTGGCCCCAAGGCAGAGTGCCGGTCGCAGCGCTGAAACTCGAAATCGAGGCGATAGTAGGGAGATGTCTTGGCCGCTCTTTCCCTTCCTAAGCTCCGTGTTGCGTCCGCATGTCGCGTGCCTTCACCGCCCGAATTCTTCGTAGTCGTGGCATAACGGGGATGAAACTGTTGAGTTCGCGTAGCTGTAATACAGCTGCAAGGGCTGCTGAGAGTCGAGGCGTAGTCCGAAATTATTGGGTGCCTGGGCGCGTAGTTGACGCCTCCGCATATGCGCGACGGACACACCCCACAGCCTTATTCAAGTGACGTAGGCAACGCACCGGCAGCCTGGTGAGTCGATGGAAGGATAGATGCCAAACTGAAAATACGCGGAGCGGACGTGATGATGGCTCCACAGTCGATGGAGGTGCTGTGGTGTTTGGGGTGGGGAACCGCGATGTTTTCGTGATACGCTATCGGAACTTGCCGCTGCCAAACATCGCATGGGGGCGCGGGGAAAGCGAGACCACCGTCGAGAATTGTCAGAAGCCTGCAATAGCCGCAAACCTCAATTTTTCACAATTTCGGTATTTACGGTTGGTGAGAAGACCTACCATAACGATCACGACGCGATGAACGGCACGAAGGGTGCCAATGGCACATCAACAGGCCCCAAGCTTCTCTGGAAGCACTCCTCTCCCAAGACGACACCCATGTACCAGTTCTTGCAGTCAGTAAACCAGACACACAACCTGCAACTATCCGACTACTCGCAACTACACAAATGGAGCATCGACAACATCAACGAGTTCTGGCAAAGGACGTGGGAATTTGTGGGTGTCCGACACCAGGGAGCCTTCACATCAGTCAGTCATCGTAGATCCATACATGTAGCCTCTACTTACAGACGATAGGCCGTAAATGAAGAATTGCCCATGTTTCCCCGTCCGGCATTCTTCGCGGGAGCGACATTGAACTTCGCTGAGAATCTCCTCTTCCCGACCGCCGAAGTCAACCCCGAATCACCCGCCGTCATCGCTGCTACAGAGACTACACGCGAAACAGTGACATGGAAGGAACTCAGGGGTAGAGTGAAGCTATGTCAGGCCGGCATGATACATTTGGGTCTCAAAGAAGGCGACCGAGTAGCTGGCTATGTTGCGAACCACACCAACGCGTTGGTAGCAATGTTGGCCGCGTCGTCGCTGGGGGCAGTATGGACCGCAGTAAGCCCAGACACTGGCGTCCATGCCGTTCTCGATCGACTACGCCAGATTGAGCCAACCCTGCTCTTTGCAGACAATGCGGCCTTCTATAATGGTCGGAGTCATCCAGTACTTCCCAAGGTTACTGAAATCGTCAGGGATCTCCCATCGCTCGAAGCCGTCGTCATCTTTCCTACTGTAGCTTCAGTAGAATTCGAAGTCACCTCTATTCCTGTACAATCTGGCAAAGCCTACGACTACGCAACATTCACATCACTGAAGGTTACGTCAGAACTCACCTTCAAGCAATTGCCGCCAGACCATCCAGTTTATATCCTTTACTCGAGTGGCACGACAGGTGCACCCAAATGTATCGTTCATGGGGCCATCGGTACGCTACTCCAACACAAAAAGGAACACATCATTCACTGCTCGATAAAACCTAGCTCACGACTCTTTTACTTTACCACATGTACTTGGATGATGTGGCATTGGCTGGTCAGCGGGCTCGCATCGGGCGCTACACTAGTACTCTATGACGGCTCTCCGTTTCGATACGTAGACAGTTCCGACGCATCGACGTCCGTTCCAGACGACCTAGCAATGCATCGTCTGATAGACGAGTTTGACATCACGCACTTCGGCACGTCCGCAAAGTACCTTTCTATCCTGGAGCAGAAGTCCATCGACCCATCTGCCGCGGGACTCGCGATGAACAAGCTCGAAGCGATATATTCGACAGGATCACCGCTCGCTCCTTCCACGTTCTCTTACGTCTATTCCGCCTTCCCTTCGACCATCAATCTCGGCAGCATCACCGGTGGCACAGACATCATCTCGCTCTTTGGCGCACCCAACCCACTCTTGCCCGTGTATGAAGGCGAAATCCAAGCCGCCGGTCTTGGTATGGCAATCGCTGCGTATGACTACACAGGTGCCGATGTCTCGATGTCAGGCGAACCAGGAGACCTAGTTTGCACCAAGCCCTTCATCTGTCAGCCAGTAGCATTTTGGGGCCCCGAAGGGGAGTCAAAGTACCGGAAGTCGTACTTTGACAAATTCACAAATGAGAAGAATCAGCCGATCTGGCATCACGGCGATTTCGTGCGATTCAATCCCAAAACCGGTGGACTGTGGATGCTCGGACGCAGCGACGGCATACTCAAACCCGCGGGCGTACGCTTCGGATCAGCTGAGATCTATAACGTGGTACTGGAGCATTTCCCTGAAGACGTCACGGACGCGCTTTGCATCGGCCGAAGGAGAGAGACTGATACGGATGAGACTGTCGTGCTCTTTCTGAAGATGGCAGAGGGTCGCCAGATTTCTACTGATCTCGTTGGAAGGATCAAGACAACGATCAAGCAAGCGCTTAGCGCACGTCATGTTCCAGCTGTAGTGGATGAGTGTCCAGAGATACCTGTCACTACCAACGGCAAAAAGGTTGAAGGTGCTGTCAAGCAGATACTTTGCGGACTCAACGTCAAGACGAGCGCGAGTGTTGCAAACGCCGAATGCCTAGACTTCTATCGAGAGTGGGCGAGGACGCATTGAGCGCTCAGTTCGGGTTGTTGCGCAAGATTCTGGATCATGCGACCTACTCCGCTCACTAATCAGTCGTTCGCTGGGCTAAGTAATAAGCAGCCGCAAACATCGACAGCCCATTCAGATGTAGCCCACGAGTCAGACACCTAGCTTGAGCCATGTCTGGGGGTCTCGGACTAGCAAGCCCCACTTTTGCTGCAACCAGATTATCCCGTCACACCTCAGGAGCTGGGACATGAGCTTAATTCCACGACATTATAAGCAGTGGGTAAAACAATCGTGGTACTAGAACTCTTCAGCCACAGTGGGCATCTCGTAAAATCCCAACCACTGAGGAGCTCATGCTTTCGCCTGCTTTTTCCAATCGCTCCCTGCCCACCAACATCACTACCGTCTGCTCACAACCGTTGCTGCATCTTTCAGAAGCTCGCAGCAAGCATCTCGTCAACTTTCGTACACAGTGCGTCAACGACACTGACACCAGCGTCGAACGTAGCTTTGACAACGCCCGTAGTACCCTCCGGATAGCGTGCAAGAACAGCAATCGCACCACCCTTTTTCGCCACTCCGTCTCCCGTCCAACCTCTCATCACCACGAAGATGTCGGAGGCGTTGAGCGTCTGTCCGGTGCTGGCGACGTCGTTGTGTGCGAGGAATGCGATGTTCTCTGGCAACATGTCAACAAAGATGCTCAATGTGAGACAGATTTGTCTTCAACGTACGAGCTAGAACGAGGATCCTGCGCTCGAGTTTGATAGCGCGATTGGTGGCGGCGACTTGATCGACAACAGTGTCGGGCGCTTCATAACATTCGTTGCGGAATGGGCGCATGAGATCGTAGATGCGCTGTTCGAGCGCGTTTGCGGGCTGGGGCGAAGACATTGGCAACAAGGCTTGTTTTAGTCGGCGTCGGGAGGTTCAATGGTTATCGTCTACGGGTGTTTGTGGAAGGAGAAGGAAGTGTGGAAAATGGTAACTTCCACTGACGAGAACGCCAAGACATCTTGGTTGCACCTGACATTATAGACTGAAAGCTCGAATCTTCACCCTCACCGTTCATTTAACTGCCGATAGTGCTTTAAAATCTTCCTCCCTCCCTTCGCCAGTCTTTGCTCTAGTCCGATAACACCGTGACTGCCTTCGCGCTTGCCCATCGCTCTCAGTGTGGTTCCACCTTCACTTCGGGAAAGAAGTTCGCCAATGCCCTGTCACACTCCTCCGTCAGAATCTCGATTACGCTTTTCCCGTCTTCCTTCCTCGCCCAGCAGCGCATGACGGTGTGTGTATACCCGTTCCCGTTGACGAAGATTCCCATTCCAGCTATCCCTCCGCCGCCTTTGATCATAGTAGACCAGTTGCGAGAGCCAATGGAGATGTCGATGGGAACAATGATTTTGCCATACGAAGACTGGTTGTGGCGGATGATGAATGATATGTTCTCTGTGGGAAGGAGTCAGGTCTGACCAGAAGTGAAGTTGAAGCGGGTAGAATGTCTACGTACCACAAAGTATGAGAAGCACGCGTTCTTCTTCTATTGCCGGTGCGGTGTTGGGAGCATTCTTGTAGCACTCTTCGCGATAAGGCTGAAGGAGATCGTAGAGTCGCTGTTCAAGCGAATCAGTCGACATGATGAGGTGATTGGTCGCGGCTTGATTGGTATATTGCAAAGTGGGGATGATAAAGTGGATAGTATTGAACGCAGCGAATTCCTATAGAGGCGGGTGGGTGGGCCTAGAGTGTTTGCGCTAAGAACACAGAATACAGTCTGCGTCACTGTGCAAGCAGATATTGGTGGTCAATTTTGCGTGAGCCATGGAGGGTCGTGCGTGACTGCCTTGGGATCTGGCAGCGCTTTTCAGACGCCTCCAACAGTGAAACACCGTTAGGTCAGCCCACACGATCTCTTTCCGAAACCCTCGTCCTAAGGGCTCAGTCACTGCTACCGTGGCATTTATACCATAAGGTCTCCTGATCCATCATCCTCCTGATGAGCAAGGACATCTTTGATGACCTTGTCTACCTTGTCAGACAACGCATTCATCAACTCCTCCTTCCCTTTGACCTGCGCCCAGAGCATCACTGTAAAGTCACCTCGTCCTCGGTGGATACAGATGGTAGCCTTGCGACCGATGTTGTTGCGAAGAGGGCCGCGGACATCCAGAACAGGAATGGAGATTTGGGACGCGAGTATGCCCGGGCCAGCGGTGAACTTGATGAGGAAAGCGATATTGTCTGACAGAAGTAGGTCAGCTTCGTTCGGAAGAAGAAGCGAGATGGGAGGCAGACTAGACATGCTCTCGATGATATGTGAAGGAACAGCGCCGCGGCGGGGGCTCAGGGTGTTGAAGATGTGCTGTTGCACTGGGTCGATGGGAGACGCAGTCATCGTTCGTTGCTGTGAGGAAGTTGACCCTTGACGTCGCAGAAGTCTAGTAAAGGTTTGGTGTTAAAGTCGAAGCTGCAAGTCTGAGAACACGGCACCCGTGAGAACGCACTGACTTCGTTACTCACCTTCACCATTTGCGCTCCCGCATCACGTTCCAAGGCTTTTCCGTGCAGCAAAATGACTACCCGCATATTTCACGTGGTGATTGAACTACGCAGGCACTTTCCCGAAGAACAGAGTTTAAGACAATGTTGGTATAGATTTCGTGTGGCGTCGTTATGATACCGATATGATGCTAAATCGCCTGTCGCAAGCATCCACCACCCCAAGCCAGCCCACTGCTCCCTCTGATGCATGCCCAAGCGTGTACAGTTGGAAAGATACAATACCCAATGCTGATGATAAAACACAATAGAGCCACCACATTACCCACCAATGATACAGTAAAGATACATGCAATACCTGATAAACACCTTCCTGTCCCGCACGCCAGGGCCTAACCGCGGCGCGATCTGGCATCTACAATTCTCGTCACCTGCCTTCCTTGATTTTTACACAATCAGCAAAAGCGGGAAAGTTGCCTCTGAAGCTTGGGCCCAGTGTCCAATTATTCAGATCGCGGAGGTGCGTCTCGAAAGCCGGGTTGATAAGCCACTGGTCATCTTCTTTGGGTAGCGGACCCATGGATGTGATACCGGCGGAGGTATGCGCCGTAGGAGGTTGTGGGGTGGAAGGATCTTGCGGCGAGCCGGCGTTGACATGTGTGGAGAAAGGCGAAGAGACCGAGACGGAGGAGGTCGTCGAGAGAGCTGAGGTATGGACTTTCGAAGCAGGGAGGAGACAGTCGCGGGGCTCATAAGGCCAGTTCAGGGAAATGGTAGTCGTGAAGGGTATGAAGAAGTTCTCGAAGGATACTGGCGGGTGGCCAGCGACGAGTTTGTCGCGAAGGCGAGGCCTAGAATAGATCAGTCATTATGTGTTTTCAAACGAGTTAAGAAGCGGATATTAATACATACCATGGAAGATGATCAATCCATAACGCGTGAGCAGTGAACAGCTGAGAAGGTCGTGGCGTAGCCCAGTGTGGCAGCCGATCGTAGTTCTCCTGAGTAGGTTCGATCTGCCAACGCATGATCAGGAACATGATGAATACTATCGCAACCTGTTCCGGTCTGCCGCAGATGTCCGGAAACGTGCGCAAGATGTCTGTGAAGAGCTTTGACAGGGGGTGTGCATCTACTGCGCGCTCGGGATACGCTAGAGACGTGAAGTTGGGGTAGTGTGGTCCAACCAGGGTCTTCATAGGTACGCCCTCGGCAGCGCGATTCTGACGATCTTGCAGAAAGTCGAGCAGGATGACATCCAGAGGGCATGTCGCCGGGAGATTGCGAGGTAGCGTGAGGTGGGCGACCATGCTCGGCGCATACATGGCATGCTGGCTACTACTGACGTTGCTGGGTCGCGGCTGCTGTGGAGGGGGAAGATTTGGATCGACAGCCCTCCTCTGCCCGTTGTCGAGTATGAAGTCTACGCCTAGACGCTCATCAAAGGGCATCTCTGACTGTAGATGGGGTGTTCGCGACTGGTCGAAATGCGGTCCGGGACTGCCATCGGAGTAGCGGCGCAAGTGGCTGTTTGGCGCGTCGTTGGGGTATAGCCATGCTCTTCCTCCCTCGGTCACGCTTGGGGAATGTACGCCGTTCTGAGGTGAGGCCGTGGATAGCTCGTGGGACGCGATGTGGTATTGTCGTGGTTCGGTAGGTTGCACAGGCGCGTCGCGCTGTTGGTGAGGATGGATTGGAAGGGGCGATCGCTCGGCAGCAGCTGCCAGTTCTACCTGCTGTCAACATTCGTTCCTGCTTTGGGAGTAGTCATCGTACCATTGAGGCCACCCGTCGCACGCACAATAGGCTGGATGATGCTCAGGACGCTCTCGAGCCTCTTCCTGATGTCTCCGTTCTCCGCCTGGACCGCCTCCTTCTCGCGGAGGACGACTTGCAGGTCATGGTATGGCTGTTGGCTCTCCAAATCCCGGATGCGCTGATTGAGGCGATCGATCTGGTTCTTCGTGCGCTCGCGGATGGCACGTTGAGCTTCGCGGTCGTTTGCGCGCTTGCGGGCAAGCTGTTCGGGCGTGAGGTTGGCAACGCCACGCGAGTTGGGGCCAGTCCTGCGCTTTTTGTTGGGCTGACCATCGCCCGAACCATCGTCTCTAGGGGCTCCTTCGGGCGTGTCTGCCTCCGCCGGCGACGCCATGCTGATCATGGATGCGTGTGGGTTGCGACTCAGGACAGAAATGGACAAATCCTACCTCGAGTCATGACCCTGACACTGCAGCTGCGATGAGTTTTGCCTACAGCGAGCTAAGCCTGAACAGGCCTAGTGGATGATCGCCGCCCTGATCGATCGCGGGGACAGCACGCGTGGGGGACGCGAACCTCGGGAATCTCGTCGGGTAACGCTCTCCGCACTTGCGCGGCTCCCAGAGTCTAGATCCAGACGCGCGCCATGGGGTAGCCAGTGTGCTGTGGGTGCTGGCAGCGTCTTGCTGCCATTGCAAGCACCATCACAACACAATGGCAGATCAGAATGTAAGCAAGCTGGGCATCGCTTCGGCGACGCTCAAAGCCAGTACGCGCCTGCATCATGAGGTCAAAGGCAAGCACTAACATCTCCGACAGTGGGTTCTGCGCTGCAACGCTCCGTTACATCACCCTTCAAAGGCGAGAATGGCTCCAACACGTACTTCAAGGACATCATGTTCGCCATGTTCCGGACCAATCTGGGAAACCTCGACCTTGCGCAAGACCGGTACATGAACGGCGCATCTTCGACGCCTACGTACCTTCAGCATGCCGAGAAGTACAATTTCGTTCCAGATAGCATCAAGCTGCCCAGTGGAACACAAGCGCATTGGCTGGGTAGTAGGAGCGCGAAAAAGGTTTTTGTGTACTTCAATGGTCGGTCTCCGCTTTCCGAGATGAGGGGCATCTTACTGATATGAATAGGTGGTGGATACGTGATGCCATGCACACCAGGCCATATGCTATGGCTCGATGACTTCCAAAAGTCTCTCGGCCCCGACGTATCCGCGCTCCTTCTCGCGTACGATCTCGCACCAGAAGCCAGATATCCCAGCCAACTAAAGCAGGCAGTCGAGCTGCTCCACCATCTCGTGCACATCGAGGGGCGCAACCCTTCAGACCTGATTCTAGGCGGCGATTCAGCTGGCGGTAACCTCATACTCGGTCTGCTCTCACATCTCGCACATCCACATCCCGAGATTGCTCCGTTGGAACTTCCATCCATGATCCATGCCGCGCTTCTCATCTCACCATGGTGCTCTTTGACACAGACGAACACGCCAGCATTTGTCACGAACGCACAACGCGACATGTTTGATGCACGAACCCTTTCCCGCTGGGCGACTGCTTTCCTCGGCTCCACTTCTCCTTTCGCCGGCGACTTCTACAGCGAACCCGTCCTCGCAGCTCCGGAGTGGTGGGGCCCTGTTGCCGATTTCGTGGAAGAGGTTTTAATATGGGCGGGCGATAACGAGGTGCTGAAGGATGGTATCGAGGCATTTGCAAAGAAGTTCACCCAAGGCTTTGGCAGCAATGGTGGGCTGGTCACTACAGTCGTAACTCCAAAAGCGTGCCACGAAGAGATGGTTGTCGAGCGAATATTGGGTTATAAGGGCGATTCGGGCACTGGAAGTCAAGAGGTGGTGCAAAGCTGGGTCAAGGCGAAGCTGTGATTGTTGGAAGCTTGTATATCACACATATGTACGAATGAAAGATATAGGCAACATGAGATATGCGGCCGTGAAGAGCACAATGCAGGTAGTCTGAATCTTGGAATGGTGCCATGAGTTGCCAAAGATGACGTCTTTTTGGTGACGCTCGGCGATAAGAACAAAAGGCAAGGACGACGATTGTAAATTGGGTGGAGTGCGCAAGATTCAGATCCAATGTAAGATGGCCTGTGGGGTATACGAGAATACGAGCCCGCGGAGAGGCATCCGTACTAGCGCGATCGGGGCCTTCGGAGACCGACCGCGGGTGACTGTTACACTTACGCCATCACGTCCTTCGTATAGCTCCTCGGATCTGGGAGGTCGGCGCCTCGGAGGCAATTAACTGTGTCGACATCTACGACGATCGCGTTTCCATGTTGCAATGTGGCTTCGTGGGCCTCGTGAGCACCATGAGGCTCGCCGCGGACCGGTTCTTGGTATCGTCGTGACCGCATCATTTCCCGCTGATCGACTCAAGCGAGGTACCTGGACAACTACGCATGGCGTTTTCGTCGTTTCGCCACGGATAATCACTCACAATTCTGTAGAAACTCCACTAGTGATCGGACGAAAAGAAACATGGACTGCACTTTCATGACGCGCATGATAGAGTGCAAGTGAGATGCGGCTTGGGTGTGTCACCACACGCGTCATATCACCATCCACATGTACATAAGCTGCTGTCTTCAGGCTCTCCATCGAAATCATTCAAATACCATTCGAATTCCAGCCCAAAATGCCTTTCACTACACAGCTCCGCACTATTTCCCGACCCTTCATCCAACAATCACATCTCTTCAAACGAACTTCCATCAGAATGTCTTCCACCAATGAGCATGGCCAGGGTGCATCGCACGCCACTGGTCAGAGTGCCGTCCCCAAGAAGGTCCAGGAAGCTGCACCAAAGGGTCTCGAGGAGAGCCTCCCTGAAGGTGTAAGTTGAATGTATCTGCCAAGTATGAAGTGAAGCATGTTAACATTGTCACAGGTCCACCCCACTGGCAGCAACCCCAACAGCCAGTCTACCAGCAAGACCCATGCTCTGAACGACGGCGAGGACTCAATCGTCCCCAAGAAGGTCCAAGAGATCGTTCCCGAGTCTGTCGAGCGAGGTAAGAGTTCTACATACAGTGCAATAATGACGCGATTCTGACACAAACGAAGCTCTTCCCAACTCGATCCACAACACCGGAGACCAGTAATCGCGTCTTACTATCTACCTAGGTAGTGCATGATTGGCAAATAGGAAGTTCACTGTATCATAATAATAACAATCAACGTCAATCCAAACGACATCGTGCTTGAAGCTGCTGTTTGTATTGATCATAGAAGAAATTGTGCCATCAATCTACTCAAGGAATACCTAGGTGCATTGAACCCCTACTTACAACCTATAGTGGAAGTAGAAGACGTTGGACTCAACACTGCCTTGAGTTTCTATCCATCTTCGTTCTCATATGTATGCAAATCACAGTGGACCTTCCATCTTTCTAAGACATGTCACAGGGTTGTCCGCGCCGAAGGTTCCCGTCATCTGGTGTGTACCTGACGCTAGTGTCGAGCCGCGGTAAACATGACGTTGGCCGAGCCCCACCATCCCGCCAGGGCTCCAGATCTTTTCCTAGCCACCACGACAACACGCCTCTCTACCCACGTGTACGCATCTCACCATGGCCTCCGCAACAGCAGCCGACATCCAGGGTCCATCTCACCCAAACCCAGAGGGTCTCAACACATCGGCAAGCACACAATTCCCGGCTGTCAACATCGGCACGCGCAACTCGGTACTCGCCCAGATCCAGGCCCGCGCAGTCGAGCGAAGCTTGAAGGATGCGTACCCGGACCGAACCTTCAACATCTGTCCTGTCGTGGTACAGGGGGACAGGGACAAGATTACACCCTTGCAGCAACTGAGTCAAGGCGAGAATGCGAAGAGTCTTTGGACGGGCGAATTGGAGAGCATGCTGGAGTCGGGCGATCTGGATATCATCGTTCACTGCTTGAAGGGTATGTTCTTGAGCTCGCGCAATGAAACCTCGAACGAGTCGGGCTGACTAGCAGGACAGACATGCCCACACAGCTGCCAGACCACCTCGAGATTGGTGCCATACTCCAGCGTGAAGATCCCCGCGATGCCCTCTTGATCTCCCCACGCCTGCCCAAGGAGACGACGTTAGCTACCCTTCCACAAGGTGCCACCATCGGTACGTCATCGGTACGACGAGCTGCCACACTGAGAAAGCTATACCCACACTTGAAGTTCGCCGACCTCAGAGGCAACGTGGGCACGAGACTAGCGAAGCTCGATGCCGAAGACTCCCCGTACTCAGCTATCATCTTAGCGGCTGCCGGTCTGAAGCGAATGGGTCTCGACAACAGGATCACGCAGTATCTGAGCAGTACGAGCGGAGGTATGCTTCATGCGGTCGGTCAGGGTGCCCTAGGAATCGAGATCAGGAAGAAGGATGCAGCTATGAAAGACATCTTGAGCAGTGTTCGATGCGAGCGGACGACAAGAGCATGCTCGGCTGAGCGAGCGCTACTACGCACTCTGGAGGGGGGCTGCAGCGTGCCTATCGGCGTTGAGACATCATGGAGAGGTGGCAAGGGCCTCACTATCGGTGCACAACCAGCAAAGGACTACGACATCCACGGAAATGCGGTAGAAGAGGAAGAGCCAGATGTTGACGATCAAGAATTAGTGTTAAGAGCCATGGTGGTGAGCGTAGATGGCACGGAGTCTGTTGAGTACGAGGCAGCCCGCAAAGTCCGAAGCTCAGAGGAGGCAGAAGAGATGGGACAAGAGGTTGCCAAGGTCTTGATCGAGAAGGGCGCCGACAAGATCTTGAAAAAGATCAACGTAGAGAAGCAATGGGCGGCCAAAAAGCAACTCGAGGAGCTACAAGCCAAGGCTGCCAGCTCATAGACCAACCGCTGTAACGATCAATGTATTACGAATCAGTGAAGCACCCTCAGTCGCTGGTCTCGATGACAAGATGCTTTTTCGGGCCTTGCTCTGCTTCACTGGCTAATGAACACCAACATCTGTTTACGTGTTTGCGACCACATCTCTGGAAAGGAGTGCCATCTGAGTATCGATTACTGCCAGCAGACAGGACAGAGCAGAATGTTCACAAAGACACAGACACAGAAAGCTCGTTGGTAAAGTTGTGACTCTTGGGCGCCTCGATATATAAGAAGTTTCGAGTACGCAAAGCAAGACGTTCCTGCTATCAACTCCCTCAAACTCCTAAGCACAAGCCTTCAACCGCTAGACAGACATACTGCCAAAAGCATATTACCACTCCGAAGCATCAAACCCACGTCATCGTGCGCAAAGCCATATACCCAAGATCATCTATACCCAAGGACTTCATCAACTTTTACTCCCGACATGTGCGAAGAAAGATGGACTCAGTACAAGGACTGCAACCACGAGCATATCCCAATGAGGCGAACTATACGCTGTCACCGACTCGAAGACGATGTCAACGCAAGGCAGTGTCCGCGGTACAGTCGCGTGCGGCGGACCATCAAGTATCCGGATATGTGCGACACCTGTAGGGCAAACGGGGCTGTTCCTGACGAGGGTTTCAAGGGTGGAAGATGGGATAGTCGATAGGATGCGCGGAAAGAGCAAGCAGAGGGGAACATGAAGACGTTGACAGTCATGCGAGGGGGTGTTTGGAGATGTGTACAAATATGAACAATCGTTGGCTGACTTGTATCCTATGAGACATATGCCACTTTTCGATATCGGCAGTAATCAATCAGAAGTGAGGAAATGGACTTTGACTTGTATGTTTCATTGATTGAGGGCTCCTTGATGGAAAGAGAACGCTAAGACAAGGAAACTGAGGCCAATCAGGTATAACTGGTCAGTCTTATTATCATTCCGACTGAAATCATAGTACTCATCTTGGTCGCCTCGACGATATGGCTTTTTTGTTTGAAGGCGACTTTATTTTAGGCGCGGTGTTGCGAGCTGGCGACGACCTGGACCCCGGGAGCTTCGAGAAGTTTGTCAGCCGCTAAATCACGTGATACCGCGCCTTGTCGCTGGCGGAGTTAACTCTAGGACGCACGATCGGTGCGGCACCTTCGGGTCTTCGCGTTTGAGACATGATGAACATGGTAGCTTGCAGGAACTTCGGGCTCAAGCTCTCTTCTCTTCCTACATCTAACCCCGCTGTCGAATTTTCCGTTGGATATATTACCGCTCTCTCAAGAAATTCGTTGTACCTTGTCCTGAGTGTATCGACTACCTCATCGCCAGGTTCGCTTCGCAGCGACACACGGCGCTCATAGACCCGTACGCGTCGAGAACCCGCGCCGCATCGCCCAACAATCGCTCCAAGCGATATTAAACTCACCGTCTATACTCAATCACGCAGTTCGAACGGAGTCCAGTACAAAAGCATCGTACTGGCATTGCTAGTTGCATCGTTGCTGCCGCCAAACGCGACGCGTGCGCGACACTAAGCCCTGGAGGGCTTGTCCCGCACTAGCTTCGTCCGCAGGCATTGACCCACTTCATTATGGGCATTCCGGGGTGTGTGCGCCTCACGAGATTAGATCAACTAATAGCGTTAACTCCTCACCATCAGTTTACGACGGTCAATCGAAGCATGCGAGGAGATTATACCCATAGCACAGCTTGCCGAGGAGCACTATGCAGAATATGGAAGGCCACTGAAGATCGCGGTCGACGAAGCAGATTGGAGATTTCATTCTGTGTCACCAGCCCAGATACAAGCGATGCGCAAGAGTCAGACAGCCTGGAGATTCTTCTTACTATTGGAGTCAATGACTAACTGCCTGACGCAGATGAGCCGCGCTGTAACCCGCTGGAACGGGGTATCTTTCATCGTATCTGCAAGATCCTTCCCTTGAACATCCGGCTCGTGTTCGTGAGCGATGGACCAGATGTTCCACCAAAACGTGGCCGAGATGCTGGACGCCGGGTAGATCGCAAACAACGTGCGCTTTTGAACGAGATTCTGGATGGGCTTGGAGTGGCTCATATCGAGGCACCTGGAGAAGCCGAAGCTGAGTGTTGTCGCTTGCAAACTCTTGGTCTTGTGGATGCTGTCTGGTCAACAGACTCTGATTGCTTGATGTTTGGATGTACCTTTTGGATCCGCGATCACCGAATAAGCACAGACACATCCAAAAAGACCCAGCACACTACCGAAAGCAAGAGGGACGAGAAGCGGGTTAGAGTGGTCCACGCTGACAAGCTCAAGGAGAAATGCCGACTAGATCGTCAGGGTTGCGTGCTGTTCGCCATGCTTGCAGGCGGCGACTACAACGAAGGAGGCCTTCCGAAATGCGGTGCTGACAATGCCCTGAAAGCAGCCCAAGCGAGTCTTGGTCGCAGCCTTTGCAGCAGACAAAACCAGGATGACTGTAGCAAATGGGGCGCTAATACCCTCACCAACTACTTCAAGAGAACAGCGCCAGGAATTACTGTCCCCCCGAACTTTCCACGATACGAGCTTCTGCAGTTCTACAACCAACCTAAGGTACATTCGGATGACTGGCTCCGGGGCCATGCTAGAGAGAACATGGACTACGACCATCCACTTCGTGAGACACATCTGTTCCTCAAAGCGTGTCCACCAATCAACATGTTTTGGAAAAAGTATCTCAACCACGTTGGCCCCATACTACTTTCTCGCATCCTTGCAGCCTGGGACGAGCCGTTGCGTAAGACGGCTCCGTATGGTCTCACTCTCGTGAACACACGACAGACGGCAGCAACGACCCAGCCATCTCACGCCCCGCTAGAGCGGAAGGTCAAATTCAGAGCGTTCGATGTGACAGAACTGAAGGTACAGAACTTGGCCGCATACGTAACACAAAGGGACAAGCCGATACCAGATATCAACGAAGCACCCGGCCATGTTGTCACTTACGAAATGCCAGCATTTCTCTTGCGCAAGGTCTTGCCGATTCCCACACCGACAGTAACGAAGCCTAGTGGAACAGAACATCCGCCGAAGCGAAAGCATTCAATCTCTGATGAGCAAGATGCGAGTAGGCCGGTCTCAGCAAAAAAGATGCGCCAGCCTGCCAAACCTGCGACTCCTGTGACACAGCCATCGACCACCTTTCCAGGGCGATCTGTACCTTCTCCGATGCAAAATAACGCTCTAGTCACACCTTCAAAGCACTCACTCCAACATTCGCCCTTGGGTTC